TTCATAATAATTCAACAAGTGAATCAAGTTTTACTCTCTCCCCAACCACTGAAAATAAAAACATTAATTAGATTATTCAAATAGGTAAGACAACTCCATTGTACTTTTTTTTAATCAATAAAGAAAGTCAGAGAAGAAATCTCTGTGTGACTCACCTGCCTACACATGTCTTCAGTTTACAGTGTGTGTATACTGTCACTACTTAAAATTTATGTATACATGATAAAGTATAGAAATCAGCTGACAGTGTTGATTAAGAACTACTAGAATACTGACGTATTTCACTATTAAATTGTTTTGTTGTACCAAAACATTTGACGGCGGTTAAATTAACTCGTTATTGAGTATATATAGTTTTATATCGTTGCCAAGTTCTTCAACAGTTAATGTTTGTAGTGTATTTCACTCTTAGTGAGCATTTACAATTTCATTGACTTTTCTATTGCTATGCTCAAATTACAATTTAATAATGAGCTGAATAATCGTGTTAAATACGACTCTTTCCAGGTGGAACATTGATGGTTAACTGATGGTATTCTTCAGACTTTGGTGTCATACGGAATTATGTGCATGCGTTAGGCGGTTGTGAAAACTTGAGATATCCCACAGTAGGAGAGTTGACGAAATACGGCATTCAGTAAGGAAGAAAAAAGAATTAGTTTCAGTAAGACAACAATTGCTAAACAAGAATTTGTATTAAGAACACAATAATACTCAGCGAAGAGACTCTTTTCAACGAATTTATTATCAAGCTGTACAATCGTATATATATGGAATTTTTTAAGAAATTGTATCCGGTGTGGCAATTAGGTCAAAGGTGTGAATACATGAAATAATAATAGTATGAAATGCAATTAAAATATTTGTGATTATAATCATAGTTTTATGTCAGGAGGTAAAATAATTAATTTCATATATAGAATAATACATAAGATGTATAGATTTTGGAAAGGGGTACATAATTATAGGATTAGTAGACGAATATAAAATGTAACATAACATGGTGTGAAATTTGATAAGACAGAAATCATTATTGTAAAAATGAAAATATAAAAATTAGTAATTTTGGGTTTAAAATGACAAGTGGGTCAAGTGGAAAAGATTCAGAGTGAGAATAGTAATAATAATAATGATGATAATAATAGTGATAGTCGTAGTAATAAGGGAATGGTACGTAGAATAACTAAATAAACAAAATAAATAAATGTCTATCCCTCTACGGCCAAGGCAGAAGTAGGGATTGTACATACTTCTTTTTTACGCAAAGGTCTGGCTTAAAGTCATGAATTGCCAAGGCCTCAGCTGTCTTTAGAAGTCTGTAACGAAGAAAACGCGGGAAGTTAGCATGGATTCTATATATGATCTTGAAATCATGGTCAGGGTTGACAGAGTGACAGAAGTCGATCAGGTGTTCCAAAATAGAGCTTCGCACACACTTCCTTTCTCCCTTGTAAAACCATGCTAGAATATGTTCTCTTATCCGTGTGGAAAGCGTCCTCTGACTACGGCCAATGTACCTTGCTCCACATAGCAGGTGAACTGATAGATGCGCATGGAAGCGGCCAGACGGGGGAGCTTATCTTTTACAGAGGTAGAGAACAACTTGGGGCTAGTGAACGTCATATGTAATTTTGCTGCAAAGAACGTCTTACTGACTGAATAAGAGAGACGATTTTTGACCATATCTGAAGCTTGATCACCTTTGAATTCCAAGTTCATGAATAAGGTTTTCTTTGAACTGAGTCGGTGACCAACTTAGACTGTTTATCTTTCATGTTGCTGTCAATAAATCGGTTAGGGTAACCGTTTTCTGCGAGGGTGGCTTTTAAGAAAACAAGCTCTGAGTTAACGCAATCAGAGCTACAAATTTTCCATATCCTAGAGCAGAGCGAATGAATTAGGTTCCTTTTCCTGGAAATAAGCACTCAACTGTAAAAATTAATTAGTTGTCCGTTCCATGTACGTTTCCGGTGGATAGATCTTTTGAGAGATCTGTCATTATGTCTGCTAAGGCACACATCAAGAAATGGAATACTTAATTCGGATTCCTTTTCTATGGTGAATTGTAAAGAAGGATCGCAGTTGTTTATCTGTTGTATATCTGTTTTCAATTGTAATTAATATCGATGGAACAATTTGGCGATAAAGCTAACAGAACAAGTGATAAGGTACTTTGATGAATGATATTCAATGTTAAAATTCCCTCAACACTGTTTCGGCTGTCTGTCTGGTACTGCACAGTTTTCAGTGGTTCTCAAACTTATATCCATCCGCTAATGAACTTGAAACCGCACGCATTCCTACGAAATGACACTTGCAATCTAGAATTAATTTGAAGCAAAAACCACATTATATAAGGTACAATGAGTGTAGAAGCAGTCAGTGTTAAGACAGTACTAAATAAACGAACTAAGAAGACTGTATAATTGCAAATGATACTCAGATTATGACATTATAATTGAGATCTTTATGTTAAAATAGTAACATATTTGTAATGAAAGTACCTCATTTAGTCTGAGAGCACTAAGAACAGGCACTTTCAGGATTCGGATACTCAAGTGACTTTAGAACACACTACTTTTAATTTATTAAGCATATTCACTATGCTGCTAGAAGTAAGGACTGAAATACAGTTCTAGGTTCTTTTAATTATGGTACTTCGTATTTTCAGACACGAAATAAATACTCTAATACGATGTTTAGGAATAGTGATTACTGGTAAACAGCAAAATATCTCTTGTCTTTATGCGCGCAGTGTTATATGGTGTTTCTTTAATAATTTAGTCATTTAAAGTAGAGATAACTAGTGATCTCTAAACCTTTAGAACATTCTTTGGAATCTGTAATGAGAAAACAAAGATCACACTGATGCTGCCAATGAATAAATTGTAAAAATTTATTTCTTCAACGGTTTCATACAGAAACTATTATTGTTGTTCCCTTGGGTTCCGAGTGCAACATAGGGCTTCAACAACACATCCTCACTTTTTTCTATTTTCAGCTGTTTTCTTTAGCTGGGCCCACGATTGATTCATCATCTGTGTTTATTTCTTCCCGGACAGAGACCTGGTTATCTGGTATAATGCCCTGAGGTTTCTTTTACCTGCGGCCTACCTGTTTTGCTTCAGTTGCCGGCCAGTGTGTCGTAGAATTGTCTTCTGTCCTTCCTAGCACTCTTCTTCACTTCTTTATTCAGTGCTGTGTGCACTGAACTCAGCTTCTCCTTTTGTTACCCGTCTTTGCATTGAGTCATCTTGTCTTGCACCATCCTCCTCCTCTCTCTTCGATTAGCTTCCAGGTAGGTGTCCGTTGTGAGCCATTCCTTATCTTGTCTTGTCTCTTCTTTCTTCCCAAAATGGTTGTACATGTTTCCGTCAACATCGCCTTCAGATGGTCTCAGGGTCCTTCCACACTGGTTTCCTCGGTGATGCTACTTAGTGTTCCAGTCTTTGCTGGGACTAATGCAGTAAAAGTATCTTTTTTGGTTGCATCTTTCAGTTTTTGAATGTTAAACTTGTGGTCTGTCTCCAGTTTTTCCAGTTCCATAAACTAGGTGGTGGTTAGAGTTCTCATCTGCTCCTCTTCTCGACTCTGCGTCCATAAGGTTAGCTCCATCTCCACTTCCTTGAGTAACATTGAAACGAAGTCCACTTAGTTTGTGGTGTGTCTGCCAAGCGAAACTCATGTTGCTTTGGGTGTATCCTTGTGTTTGTACATGCTCCCTCCCATCACCAAATCACTGAACGTTCAGAACTCTGCAAAGAGTTCTTCGTAGTCATTCATTTCGCCGAGCGAGAACCTCACCACCCATGATGAGTTCTCTTCCTGTATTATCTGCTACCAATTCAGCTGGCATGCTTATAGCCCATGAGGATTTTGATGTCACTATTTGGGATGTTGACCATCAGTGTTTGCATTTGTCTATAGATATCTTCCATCTTGTCTTGTCCTGAGTTGTGTATAAGTGCGTACCACTGGATAATTCTAACCTTCGATCCTTCCTTTTGAGTTGAATCTTGCTGTCATTATCCCGCAGCGGAAGATTGATTCCCACTGTATTAGAGCTTTGGCTGGTACTGGTGACATCATGATAGCCAGTCACTGCCTCAGTGTGCTCGTGGTTGTCGTCTGGGTGACTGGAGTAACTAACTTACTCACCGGTTGACAGTTTTTACAGTCTGAACTCATTCCACCTGCTGTCACAGATTTTGAGAGCTTCTACACTTCGTTTCGCTTGCAATTTGGGCAGCCTTCACAGCCTCGTGCATTGTACGAACATTCCACGTCCCCATTCTAATTCTTGCTTTCAATGAAAGAAGAAATTACCTTAATGAATTTGAAGTTAGCGATAATGACACACATATAGAGTAGGATCCATTTCATTTCGTCAGTGTCTTCTCAACTGCTTACAACCTGAATAGTGCAGGTTAATAGAGTAATTAATATTTTAACATACTTTAGTTTATCGATTAGCAATGATCGTAGTAAATAGATGAAATGTTAAGTTAGTGATATATATATATAATCTAATTTTCTCGAGAAGGGGAACAAGAATGATAACAAGATATTCAGGTACATAAGTTAAGAATGAAAGGAAATGAACACTTACATTTATTAACATATGAGATAATCAGTTAAATATTAAGAGCTGTGTCTGATGAAAACGGCTTTTTAGAATTTCAAGGGACATGAGCTTGTCTGTTTATTATCCTGAATGCATTCAAAATGTCCATCGAATATTCTGTGTTGATCAATTTCGTTTGCGTAAAGTGAAAAGTTAAGCTATAAAATAGCCATATTGTACATACTCCTATATTTTGATGCATTTCACACTACTTACAATACATGTAATCATCTGAATGCCAATACTTCTACTCTCATTAATTGGATACTTTACCTTCTTTTTTAAAGATATTCCGTTTATTTGCGCGTGAAAAAGAAAAAAAACCTCATCATAACAAGCATCTGACCAACTAGTCAAGTGATATTAATTCGTTTGACAAACATACAGATTAATCACTGGCTTCTTCTGCTTCTTTATAGAATCGTTTATATCATTCAAAGCAATCATGAATTAGGCAAAAATAACTGATAGATTTAAAAGATCTAAGGTTTGTGTCTACGTGTGCATGCAAAACAATTAGAGAAAAGAAAAAAAACATTTTCCAACATGAAGCTATGCTACTGAAGCTAATTATTATTCGTAAAAGGTATTCATGCCAAAATTGTTTAAAATAAAAAGCTATAAAAATTGTCTAATATATGTCACCAACTGATTAGTATTATTCTAATATTATCTAAATTATCACAAAATGAGTGAACGAAAAGCTGTCATTAAAAATGCTGATATGAGTACTGAAATGCAAGAAGATGCTGTACATGTAGCTGCTAGTGCTTTAGATAAATATGATGTGGAAAAAGATATAGCTGCTTATATCAAGAAAGATTTTGATCGTAGGCATCATACTACATGGCATTGTATAGTTGGACGACATTTTGGAAGGTGAGTTAAATAAAATAAGAAAGTAATTTATCAGAATAATATGTATATATGTCCGAACCAAGTTCACTTTTAACAATTTGAAAAAAATTTGTGCATTAGATATATGATATTCATTATAATAAAGGTTTCTTTTTATATTTCCCAATGAATGAAAAACAAAACGATATTGTTTCTACTGTCATTTATCTATTTAATGCTGCTAATAGCTTTATCAAAGTATTATCAAAACCGGGATTTACGAAATCTCAGCTTATATGTAACAACTCAATCATCGTTCATCAGCAGTCGGTAATTTTTACTTTGTCAAGTTGACCAATTGGTAAAGATAATAAAACCAAGTGCAGATTGTTTGATTTAATAAGCGTATAAAATTATAAGAGCAGCTTGTGTTTACATAAGGAAGCAACTTGTCACATATGTGTTGATTTGGTTATTTCATGGGGTAGCCTGGGGTGTTGTAACCATGTCATATTCTGGCCAACTTGACAGCGGCAGCATGACCCCATGCTGAGGAACAATGATTAAGTAGCCACATATAAGCTGGGAGTTTGTGAATTCTGGCTAGATAATACTTTGATAAAGCTATTAGCATTAAATAGCGAAACGTCAGTAGAAACAATATCGTTTTTTGTTTTTCATTTAGTGGGAAGACAAAACACCTTTATTTTAGTGAATATCAGGATAATAATTGGTCGCATTTTATGTCAGTTGTGTGGTAGTTACACTTTGTACGAAATTTACAGAAACTTCAGGGTATATAAGTATTTCGTATCAGGGTAATTAAATTATGAATTTCTTGATATTAGTAGTAGTAGATACCAAGCTTTATTCGGATTAATATACGTTTTTGTTATCCTAATCAGTTAGAGAAACGTGACTGTTCAGATTGAGTCTTATCCCATGCAATGTTGCATCAAATCAGTAAGTAAAATAAAATCATCGTTAGTTATTTCCTTATGAAATACTTTATGCCTTGAAATATTCACTTTCCTAGGTGAAAGATTTGTTTTCTGCCTACAAAAGCATTTCTTTTTATCTTTCTTTTTTTTAAAGCTATGTAACACATGAGACCAATAATTTCATATACTTCTACTTGGATGATCGTGCCTTCTTACTCTACAAATCCGGATGAAAAGATTAAATACTATGAAGTCATTCAAACAAAGAGTTATGAATCCACCAAACTGTTTGTTAATGTTTTTATTTCAACGCATTGATGCATTCATTATCAGTGTATGAGTGAAATAAATCTGATAGGTTTTAAATGAAACATTGATATTTTCCTATTTTTTAATTGTTTATTTTACTTCATTTTATCACTGAGGTTGTAATTTGTGATTTATACAATCATATGTTACACAGTTTTAGTGAACATTATTTTTTTAATGAACAATTATTTCACTTAGTTGAATGAGGCATCGGTAAAACGAATACCCCTGGTTATGAAAAGTATCTAAATAAAACCAACAACATAGAATTCGAATAAGGAGAGAATGTTTTCTGACTTACACTAGAACGGACGATTAAGAACTTCACATCAAAAATAACAAACTGATAGGATATCATAAAGTTTTGCGTAAATGTAAATATTACTGTATAACAATGTCAGACTTTACCTGAATAAGTTTTGCCCATAATGCAGTTATACTTTACCACACTGCACAAGTTCTATTCTTATACAAATGTAAAGGAAATCACATTTTCTGGACAGTATTCATAAAGTCTGAAATTTGTATTTCGTCTTGTCTATCTAAGTGAATGATAATTTCGACTTGCTAACTACTTTAAAAATCAGAATGCTATCCACCGAGTAAATGTATCAGAAATAACGTCATCTTTTTCAACTAATATTTCTGAAAAGACTGAATATCCTAGTGCTCATTATGAGATATAAGGCTTAAATATTTTCTCAACTACTAGTCAGTTTTGATGCTTCATAAACCATGGAATATAGGTATACTGGAATAGTAAATCTCTACAAGTAAAACTGTTATATACTGAATTGCGAATTACTTCCTCGTATGGAGAGTAAACCTTTTGATGTTAACGCTGTATTTTTGAACTTATTGAATGAGTTAGGCATTGCCAGCTAAACATTTCTGCACTCATTAAGATTTATCGATATGTCAAGTAAATGATCTACTATCTCTTTACTTAGTTTGAACCATGAACCAACTGTCAACGGTGAGGAGTGAGATAGGCAATCGTCATTTAAACAAGTAACGTATTACAGAAAGTTTCTTGCTATTAAGTTTACTAACAGGTACTGCTTAAAATAGCGGACATCTTACTTCATATGTCTGGAAGGTGTAGGTTTATACTATGTGCTTATAATGTTCAGAAGGAAATAGTAAGAAATAGGTACCAGTTAAACTACACTAGTGAAAGGCGTCTTGTTGTCAATACATACATTGTTAGAATATCCAGGAGCAAAGAATAGACGTTGCTGTAGCACTCAAATAGCAAAATGGCAGCTTGAAACTATTACATTGCAATATCAAGCTAATATTCATAAATTCAATGAAACTGCTGTCTTGGTAAGAGATTGATAAAAACTTTCAAGAGTCTTACTTCACCGTAACGTAGTCAGAGGTAACGTTTTTTTATCGTTTTCTAATATTCCACAACACGATACAAATGCGGTTTTTCGTAGATGTGATTAGGCACTTCAGAGAATTGTCTGGATTTATTCATGAGATAGAAAAGATCCACTATAGTAGATGTTTTCTTTTGCAAATGATGTAAGTGCATTACTGCAGAAATTCATCTATTTCAACACTACGTATATATAATAGTCAATAACAGTTAGAAAAGACTCGTAGATGAACGTCACTTCATCCTAATACTGCATAGGAACTTTTAGAATATGCCACGACGCAGAATAACTTACGTGGGTTACTAAGTTATGTGGCTATTACACTTTAATCAATTGTAAGGAAAATTTATATCGAATTTAATTGATCATATTACCAAACTTCGTTACTCAGTTAATGTGAATGCAGTTCAGAGTAGAAGTGAAAAAATAAATCCATCATAACAGAAAATGTGTTGATGATTGAAGCAGGTTGTTTTCTGAACATATGAACTGAAATGAAATATGAGCTTTCTCAGGCGAGATATGTTGCAGTAACAAGGCATTTTTGTAATTTGCATGCACTGATTTGCTAAAATTGAGCAAAAATAATTAACAAGTAGATCTGTTATAGTCAGAAGACGACTGTTCACTGGACTTTTGAAGAATATGTAAGTGTGTGAATGAAACAGAATGTTGAAGTCATAGTTTTACTTTCAGTTATTTTTATTCTGAAAGTCTACACAACTAAATGGGGGACCAAGAGACCTACGAAGCTGAAGATGTGTATTCACAGAGTCTCTTTCCACAACTTATTTATTATCTCTACTGCTAGCATTACTAAAGCTGGTACTGACACTATTACAATCCAAATTAACGTTGATACTAAAGTTACGACTACTTGTACTTACGCTGCAACTGAGTCTACTATTACCATTACTAATAGTAGTATTGCTGCTGGTGCTGCTACTGCAGTCGCTACTACTGCTTAGAATTCTTTCTTTGAATTACCTAGTATCTTTTCATCCTATTTAGTAATATTCAGTGTGTATTTATATACTACTGTGACAACTATTTCAGTAACAAAGCATGCTAAGCTACAATGTATAAATAAAAATGAAGTGAAGATTTCATTGTGACTGGAGTTAAAGAGAAGGGTTCACTTAGAACATAAACATTGTAATTGCAGCCATTGTATTTTCTACGGCCAAGTAACTCATTGCGAGATGAAATGAACTCTGTTCTTGCGACTGACATGAAGGTATGACTAATCACATAAGTCAGGTAGCTAATTTAATTAAAATTCAAATGGAATTAACTTTGACGTTTACCAATTTACCAGATAATTATGCATACTTTTATCTGCTTCACATAACCTAAATTAAGAAAGTATTAGTAGCTTGTTCCTTTCATGTTATGTTACAGTCATAAAGTGTAGTATTCATGAACATGTAAGACTTGAGTTATTGTGCTTCATTTCTAAGTGAAAAAGATGTTTTTCGTCTCCGAACCTAATAAATATACCTACAGTACTGAATATGACTATAAATCGAAGCTATAGTTTACAAATTATCTCGCAGCTAGCAATTTAAGTAGTTCGAGGTGAATTTTCAACACAGTTTTCTTTGGAAATCAAAATTATTCAGATATCAGTATGTGATCCGTAAGATAAAACAGATAGCAATCAAGAAATAGAGTAAAAGTGCATGACGCCATACACTACTGATTCATTGGTACGAGTAGTTGTTGAAGTTTCACCTCAGAGAGCGTGAATTAATTTGAAAATTGCGTATTTAATTAACTGTATCATCAATTCATCTAATTAGCTAGTAAAATTCATGTGCTTAGACTGATTTGGCTCTTTGAGTTTAGCCCAACCGACTACAATGCTGACGATCTTGACGCCAAACAAGTGGAACAGCCGTCTTCCGGTTACATTAATTTGATCTGTTGATATACTCGTTGATTTAAGCGGTATCGAACTACTTGTAACAATCGGACAGTATTACGTAACATTGTGTAGCTATAGCTGAAAGTCCTGAAGGCTATGAATTCATAAGAAAGGAACTACTCGTGATTACTCAGTTGTTTCAGTGGCTTATTTCAGGAGGATATGTAAAGCGATCTGAAACATCTGCGATAAAACTTAACATCTCGGCATTAAGAACACTAAGTTTTTGAAGTTCAATGAGAATAATAATTTTAAAGAAAAAAACAATGTAATTTGCATATCTAATCACTATGTATACTTGGTCAGAAATCCATTTACACACGACAACCATGTACTTAGTCAAGACTAATGATTCATAAAGGTGATATTCGCTTATCAAAAACTTCATGTGAAAAAGAAGTTTGCTTTTTATCTAATCGTGGAGAAAATCTTGCAAATTCAAAAACTTAAAAATGAGCGCCAGCTTCAATTATGAACATACTGCTCTTGACTATCTAACTTTTGCAGAATGTAGGCAATTGATCGAGGAATAAAAATCTTGTCTGTTGAATATGAAAATTTAGGAATTTTCATCAAAGTTCAAAAAAATGGAAATCCTTCAAAGACCCATTGGTCTCATTTTTACGTTATACAGTCGATTGCCTATGCCAGTAGATTGTCAGCTGCGGACAGTTAGAATGATGGGAACCCATTTATAAAGGCGTTTACTTTAAGGCTATTTACCTAACGCGAAAATTATGTTTGATATTTCAGAATTTTGTGTAATCATTGTGAGGTGTCTAACTTTCAGCCAAATTACTTAAAAGCTAATACAGTGTAGTTTGTTATAACGAAACATACATACAGAAAACATTGAGGTTTCAAGATCTTCTATGACTTCAAATATGATTTTACCTTATAGGATTTCGTAATGTCTTGACAGTGTAATCGACAAAAATTTCTACAATAACTGGCTGACTTTGCCTCCTGCGAGAGTAGAATACTTTCACATACGACCAGGCACTGTGCGTCGGTGGCACAGTGGTTAGGACTCTCGCCGACCATGCACATGGTCCGGGGTTCGATCCCCTGCCGGCGCACACCCGATATCTATGGTATGCCTGAATTTGGGCAACCGATATCCATGCTGAAAATTCCACACTTGTACTGAAAATACGGTGTGGAAATCAAGCTGTAAATCAAAAAAAAAAACTATATGTCTTATCACGAAACAAATATTTCTTCATTCTTCACGGTTTCCTCTGGGAACTGCTCTGTTACTCATTTAACAACAAGTAGGTACATTTTATAAGATTACTAGCTTTCCTTACAAAGAAAAAATAACACATTGTTTTCCAAGAAAACTTAGAAAGGTGTATAAATAACTGACCAGTGACCAGTTAAGTTTTTATGCATGATTTCAGTGTATTTAATGAACAAATGTGTTTACACCATAGCAACCGCCTACTCAGGAGTAGTGTAAAAAATATGTGGTCATATTTGGATTAAATTGATACGGCACTCATTAATTAGATAAAAAAATAAACCAGAAATACACTAAGATGTTACAATTAAGACAAAATAAGGCTGAAAAATCTTTGTAGGATTTATTTGTAACCAGCATTCTTAGAATTTTGGTTTGCGACATTATCAGTAAGAATTTTAGTAATGGAAATTTTATCAGTAATCAATATATTATCTGGAGTTTTTGAAGATAAGAAGAAATGTTTTTTAATTCAGTGACTGTTTACCATTTAGTTTGCTAATGTCTTGATTCCTTTTAAAAAAATCGTTACTTTTAAAATTGTGCCACTCAAATTTACTTGCGTGTAAAATCTTATGAAATTTAGTGACTCTAAATCGTAGGTAAACAAGGCGTAGATAATTTAAAGGAATAATGATGTAGTCAGTCGCTGGACCATGAAGTTCACCTTGTCGTGCACTGAATCAATGAACCGTGGGACTCTAATTCACATACCATTATGGGTCAGATTTCCATTTCACCTTTAATCATCGAACATTACATCAACAAAACTTTAGCAGTCCAAATCTACTATAAATTATATCACCATCAGCTGAAATGTATGAGTAGATTTGAGCCCATATATATATATATAAATTCAACCAACAACGCTTCAAATGATACAGTAATTATTGAATTTTAAGAAAAATGTGCAATTGCTAGACTAACTAAATTAACAG